GGCATCAGCTGGAGGAGAGCCCCGCCCGCGGCATCAGCTGGAGGAGAACCCCGCCCGCAGCATCAGCTGGAGGTGGCTTTCAGCTGTGCCTCTCCTCTGGAAGCCACACTGGGGTTTGCACAGATTGTGGCACCTGGGAAGCGTGGCGACCGCTCTGATGAAGCCTTTGTTTTGTTTTCAGACAATAAATATCTATTTATGGATCTGGAGCAAAAGCTCAGCAAGTACTTGCCAAAAGACTGGTAGAGACAAATGTATCAAGTAAGTCTGGAGTGTCGGGTGGGAGAGGCAGGGCACCACCGTGGGCTGTGCCGGGCCGCGGGGACGCGTGGGGTGGGAGAGGCCACCGGGGTGGGGTGTGCCGGGCCGCAGGGACGCGTGGGGTGGGAGAGGCCACCGGGGTGGGGTGTGCCGGGCCACGGGGACGCGTGGGGTGGGGGAGGGCACTGGGGTGGGGTGTGCTGGGCCTCGGAGATATGTGGGGTGGGAAAGGGTACCACAGCAGCCAGTGCTGGGCCGTTGGGATGTGCAGCCTCGTGTCCATGCACCTGCTCCATCCAGAGGGGCCATTTGCAGGGGGACTGCAATGAGCCCCAAGGGTGCAGGCAAGTGAGCCCACGCCGATCCCACCTTCGCAGATGGTCTTGAACACTGTAGAGTCTGTCTCCACTTAGAGTTTTCTGGTTAGTAAATACCGTGAGTCAGGAGATGTCAGCTGTGGCTGCGGACGCCTGAGCTTCGGCTGGGCATGAAGCAATTCCAGACCCCCACACTGGGAAGACAGGACAGCGGGGGCACCTCTCTGCGGCTCACGCGTTTTCTTATATTTTCCCCACCAGGGAAGCAGGAAATGCAGAGCCCCCTTCGTGGCCTTCCTCCGAGTGCGGCACTACGTGGAAAAGGGAAGGATCGTGAGGTGACCGCACTGACTTGCTTTCCTGGAATGTTGAAAATCTGCCACGTGAACAGAAGTCCTGTGAAGGCCACACAATACATTTGAATTTATACTTAAAAATGAAAATAAATACAAACAACCCACTCTATTGGCTGTTTAGGGGAGCACAGGAATTCTATTTAATTGAAATGCATACAGGCTGTGTCATAAAGTGGCACTTCTTCAAACACGGGACTTGTCCTCTGTAGGGTGGGGATGCCATATGCAGGCTGCGGGTGATGCTTCTGGAGGCCGCTGGGTGGAGGGCTCCTTGGTGGCAGTAAGTCACCTGCGCTCTGCTCCAGGGAGAGTGTGGGCCTGTGCCAAGCTGGCCCTGCAGGGACACAGCTGTGGGTGTCACAAGACAGGAACAAGGTGCCAGGGGCTCAGATCAACCCCAGGAGCTGGCATGGGGAGGGACAAGGCAGGGCCAGAGGGGCTGACAGTCCCCACACTCACTCCCTGCTGCCTTCCAGTGACCCCCGGGCACGGCACCTGTACTACTGCCACCTGAAGGAGCTCATGCTGCGGTCCCAGTGCGCCCACCAGGAGGAGGCCTACTTCCTGCTGGCCACCTGTGCGTTGCAGGCTGACCTGGGCAAGCACCGGGAGCCGACCCACGCCGGAAGGTACTTCGAGCCTCACTCCTACTTCCCACAGTGGTAAGGTTGGAGCCACAGCCTCCCAGCACTGCTAGCCCGGCTCTGTCCACCTCCACTGGGTCCAGGGACTGGGGGACTAGCAGGGGCAGCTGGAGGAAGAGTCAGGGCATGGAAACGGGGCAGCCATCTGTCCTTTCCTCCTCAAGGCCCAAGGGGCCTGCCCATCCCCCAAAGCCAGGCAGTGTGAGAGGACTGGCCGGGAGCAGGCTGGTCTGGATGCCCCGGCCAGCTGTGTGGCCTTGCTCGCGTGGCTTCACCTCTCTGAGCCTTCGGCTGCCTCGCTGTGGAATCTGCCTCCCCAAGTATCCGGTGACCCATAGAAGCCTCTGAGCCTTGGCTTCTTCACCTGTAAGGGAACGAGTGCCGTTCCCGGGAGAAGGGGGCCTGATGGCCATGCGGGTGGGTGGCCGTCACTCCGGGAATGCAGGCCGGTGCCAGTGAACTTGGAGGTTTCTCTCCTTGACGGTTCATCGGAGCGCACCTCTCCTCTGTCCTGGGCACCTTGGGGCCTTCTCCTGTTTGCTCTGAATGGAGATCGCTGAGGCCAGTGTGGGGCCCAGCCAGGCTTCCTCCAGGCACTGTGGACGTCACATATGCTCCTGGCCTCTGGTACACTTCCACCCTCCTTGATTGCGTGTCTCTGAGTATCTGACCCCAGTGTCAGGTGGTGGGCGCAGCTGATCCTCATCAGGCAGGTTCCCAGGAGCCAGGCCTTGTCAGGTGTGGAGTGCCCCTGCAGACGTCTGAGGAGGGCTGGCTGTTGCCATTAGCCCTGGGGGGGGGGGGGCCCAAGCGGGACAGGGAGTCAGACGGGCCAAGAGTAGAGTGGGCACCAAGACTTCATCCCTGGGTCCAGGCTCAGCAGCCAGGGCCTGGCCCTGCCTGCTGATGTCAGCACCAGCTGCAGGAGGCTGGGGAGGCTTCTCAGAGCAGGGAACCGGCAAGGAGGAAAGCAGGCCAGCAGGAGTCTGAGCTCACCTCCCAGCAGGCTGGGGAGGCTTCTTGGAGCAGGGGTCTGGCGAGGAGGAAGGGGGGCCATCGGGGGTCTGAGCTCACCTCCCTGCTCTGTGCTCAGATCATCACCAAGAGGGGGATTGACTACATCCTCCGTCATATACCCGCCCTGCTCCACGAGCACCAGGGCCTGAGCCTCAAGGAGGCCATGCTGCGCTTCATCCAGGAGGCCTGCCAGCTGGAGGACATGCCCATGCACTTCTTCAGGCTGTACAAGGTTGACTGCAGGGCGGCCAGTGACGGGGCTGGACTCTGACTCCAGGCCAGGGATGGATGGAACCCCAGAAGCTGACAGTGGGATCAGAACCCCAGACCAGGGATGGACGGAGCCCCCATGGCTAACAGTGGGAACCAGGACCCCAGGGCAGGTGTGGCCAGAGTCTCCCAAGCTGACAGTGTCACCAGGACCCCAGGGCCGGCTTGGAAGGGCTCTCTTAGGTCATGGCTGATGTTTGTTTAGCCTGATGAAAGGCATGCTTGTGCTGACAGGGTGTTTTGGTCTGATACTGGAGTGAATCAGACTCTAAATGGGCCCGAGCTCAGCCTGCTCCACGGAGGCCTTGGCCCCTGGCCAGACTGAGCACACTCCACCATCAGTGAGACCCAGTACCCCAAGGCCCGGGCCTTGACCTCTGATCTGTGTCCTCTAGGATAAGGAGGAAGCTTGCCCCACCATGATCCTGGGACTGATCCTCAGGGGAGTGCACATCTACCAGGTGACGGGAGGGGCTCCAGACTCACAGAGCCCCTGCTCCTGCCCCCACCCCTTCTCCCTTCCCCATGGGGAGCTGGGCTGTGTAGCCTCCCTGTAGCGATCACGGGCACTGGCTGGCCCTGCCTGGACGCCTGGCCCCTGCTGTCCTGCAGGAGGTGATCCGAGCTTCACAGCTGCTGTACGACTTCCCCTGGCCCCACGTCGGGAAGCTGGCATTTCTCGTAGCTGTCTGGGGGGGGGGCGGTCTCCATGCCCTGGAGAGTGTGGGCCATGCAGCTTCGTCTTCAGGGCATTTCCTGGGCATTTTATCCCCACGAGGTGCAAGTTGCTTCCTACCAGCCTCTCAGTGCCACGAGACCCAACCTCTTCGGGCCATCAGGCTGGCCTGGTCCCATGGGCTCTGCGTCTGGCCCAGCCCTGAAGGCATTGGGTGTTTAGCTGCCAGCTGAGGTCTAGTTGTTATTGCTGGAAAACTGGCTCCCAACTGAGAAAACCAAGGGAGAGAAAATAAGAGCAGGTCATAGAAATGCACCTGCATGGCCTCTGTTCCTCTTGTTCCGACCCCAGAGCTGTCACCAGGGCCACCTGAAGCCCGGGTGACAGGGATGAAAGAGCAGTGACTGTGGGGGCCGCTGGGCAGCAGGCTTGCCCTGGACATCCAGACCCAGGTCTTCTCGTCCCACCCTGGAGCCCCACCCCCCTCACACAGCTGCAGGCACTTCCTTGCCAGGAGGGCCGCGTCCTCCCCAGCAAGGGCAGGGCCGAGCTCGCCCTGAGCAAGGCAACCTGAAAACCTCGGCCTCGTCCCCCTGGGGGCCGTGGCTGACATTGAACATCGTCCTTTCCTGTTGCTAGCGTGGTTTTCAACCTTTGGAGTGGCACTTCTCCTGTGTTCAGGGGAAGAAGCTGGAGATCTGGCCGGATGGGCTGCCCGCGGCGCGGAAGCTGGTTTACTACACGGGCTGCGCCTGGTGCTCGCGGCCCCTGCTGCGCCTGCTGCCACCAGCTCCAGCTCCGCATGCGGCCCGCGCTGCACATGCTGCGGCAGCGGCGGGAGGAGACGGAAGGCGGGGCGGTGTGGGGCGCTGGGCTCCAGGCCGGGCTGTGCATTCTGTCTCCCCTGCGCTGTGTGAGGCCTCCTGGCTCCCGCGCCCTCCAGATGCTCAGGTCAAAGGGCGGGTGGTGCCCCCAGCCCTACCCAGAGTGACATTGTGTAGACGGGGTCGGGGAGGAGGGCGGCTCTCGGAGTCACCTGAGGTTCCACTGCTCCTCCCACCGTGTGCCCACAAAGAGCAAGAAGTGCAGGTTCCAACAAAGCCTGGCTCAGCGTTTACCCACAGGCCCGGTCTCTCTCCCCGTTCCAGGTCCTCACCCAGCCCTGAGCGTACCCAGCCCTGAGCCTGCCTTTCTGCCTCCTGGGCTCTTCCTCCTGCATCAGCAGGGATGGTCCCTCTCCAGCTGCCCTCACTGCGCTCCCCGCTCCCTGCAGAGAAGCAGCACTACCGGGAGTCATACGTCAGTGATGGGCTGGAGCTGGACCTGGACCCATCCAGCAGGGGCTCCCCGGGCAGCGGGGGCAGCAGGGACAGCGGGGACAGCAGCCAGCACTGCCCCCACCACCTCTCACTCCACTCCGCCAACAGCCACGGCAGCTCCCACACATCAGGCATCGAGGCAGACTCCGGCTCAGGTTTTCAATCCAGAGAGATGCTTGTGGACCTGCCCTCAGGGGTCCAGCGGCTCCAGGAGAAGGCGCCGTCCTCCGGCCCCAGGACCAGAGGCAGCCACCCTGGCACACATGATGACAGCCAAGGTGGGCGCAAGGGGGATGCCCAGGCCCAAGGGCAGTGAGTGCGGCCCAGCAGCCCGGCTTGGCTGACCCTGGACCTTGGGCACCCAGCAGCAAAGCCCTGACCTGCCCACTAGGGGCCAGACCGTGAGGGGCGGGGCTGCCTATGACCTGCATCCTGAAAAACGTGCCAGAACCTGCCGGGAAGAACAGAGGAGGCAGGGAGGAGCTGCCTGCAGCCTGTCATACCCAAGTCCCTTGTCCCCAGCAAAGGGGCAGCCACAGGCTGGGAGAGACACAGGAGTAGTGGGTCCTCTGGGTGCAGATGAGCCCAGGTTCTCAAGCTTTCTTGGAAGCCCATCTCAGATCTCCTCCCATTCCTAGGAAGCTTCTGACTCCTAGGAAGCCCACCCTACTCCCAGGGAACCCTTCCCCTCCCAGGAAGCCCCCCCCCCCTCCTAGGAAAACCCCCCCCTCCGAGGAAGTCCTCCCCCCCCCCCCGGAGACCCCCCCCGAACTCCTAGAGACCCCCCAACTCTTAGGAAAACCCCTCACTCCTAGGAAGCCCCGTGGACTCCCAAGAAGCCCCCAACTCTAGGAAGCCTCCTCATTGTTAGCAGCCCCCCACTCCTGGGAAGCCCCCACCTACCAGCTTCCCTCGCATCCGGAAGCCTGGGTTAGACAGGTGTCTTTTTCATTCAGTTGAGTAGGAATGAGAAGACAGAGCCATTCCCAGAGTCTTCTAGGACCGTGTGTCCAGCGGGCCCCGGACGTGGCGTCCTGTCCCAGGGAATGCTTCCTGCTCAGCCCTGTGTGTGAGGCCCTGAAAGCTTCCTTAGCGCCCCAGAAAGGGGACCTCAGCTCTGCTGGTCTCTGAGTGTTCCCATGGCCTTGACAGCAGATGTGATGAGATCATGTGGGACCAGCCCTGGGGCTCAGTCACCCAACGCCACCCAGCATCACCTGCAGTCACCCAGTGCCATACGGCATCACCCAG